GGGGGGGGGTGATGGGGTGACGAAGTTTTGTTTTGTCAATGTGCATTAACTTTGCAATATTGGCTGGAACGGTCTCAAGTGTTATGTCCGAGATTGATGTCGCTATCCAGCTAATATTTCCATATTTTTCCTTTAGTCTATCTGGGGATCTAGTTTCCGTTCCGCTCAGAGCAGCATGTCCCCCCTGGAACAGCTACTGAAGGAGCAGAAAAGCCAACAGACATCGTAGATGTTCGGCGACACACGTCAGATCTTCGTTTGCTAATCGGCACACAGTGGTTATACATCCAGTGTTATACATCCACCATCGACGGCGACGTCATCCTAGTTACCATGGTTACTTAGTGCACCTAGTTACCCTCGTAATAGAATCCACAAATAACCCCACGTCACCCTTTGCTATGGTTACAAAGATAAGTTTATGGTTATCAGAGATATTAAGTTTACCATATTTTAAATGGAAGTTATGTTGTTCACATCAATTCGTAAGTATACAATAGTCAGCCGTTGGCCATAGCTTAAAGTTTATAGCTGTAGCCTTCATAGTCTTAGAGAATTTATAGGCAATGGTTGGTTATATTACTGGAATTTTGAAAAGTTATAGTGAGACTGTTAATGAGAATTGAACTAAACGTTTTATAGACAGTGGCATTCCCACATTTGGCTACTATCGTCAAACGGACAGCAGTCTGTTCATGTCTTTAGAGTATTGCAGGACAATATTGTATTGTATTGGGCGATTTAAATTTGATGCGAGTATCTTGTTGTAGGCTTCGTCTACAATGCATGCCTGAGCTTTGGTTTGGCCTACCGAGTAGCGCTGGGTACTAGCCCGACTCAGATGTTGTACCCAGGCTCTCTAACATGCTTGACTAATGACTTCGGGGACTGGGAACCTTTGGCCTTAGCGAAACTTTCTGGAAATGTACACTCTTAGCCTAGGAGTGCCATTTCAACGACACCGTGGGCTTGCACTACATGATTTGAGCGATTATAAAAAATATTTGAAACAAAAACTAACACCGATAAAAATATTATTCCTGAAGTTGAAACAAAAATTTTAGCTTTTGTTTATTTCGTCAAATAGAATCACACCCGTCAAAAGAAGAATTCGAAATCTGAGAAATGTGAATCAGAGGCGGATCTAGCCTCATCTGAAAGGAGGGGTGCAGGTTTTCCATGGGGTGGTGCATGAGGGAGCCTTACTTTCCCACTCTCCCCTGCAGTCTGCAACGCTACTATCCCAACATTACCATGATTATTTGAGATGGCCAAATGTACATGCTGCCGTTGTTTATATATCGGCTTTTTATCACGTATGCGTGACTGGACAGTTGCTGTAGCACAGTACAGTAAATTTGCTTGTCAAAGTACAGTATATTTGGGCGATTTAAATTTGATGCGAGTATCTTGAAAATATAGCTGCATAACAACCTCGACATGTTTACATATTTAACCATGGTATTTAACTAAAGCATTCTGAGTATTTTCTCGTGAGCTCACGAATCAATTAAATCGTTTCAAGAAATCGACACGCGCTAACAGTAGAAGTTCCGCTTTTCGAAAAGCAGAAAATGTATGGTCAAGCAGATTTTTAAGGTGGTACTGGACTTCTCTAGGGGGTGCTAGACACCACTAAGTGGTGTGCGCACCCACCCACCCCCCACCCCCACCCTGTACCCACTCGGTAGATCCGCCCCTGAAGTGAATGTTCTCAATTCGGTCGTTTTTCATATGCTGTTTTACTGCGCTCAAATGAGACTGTCGGTCAAAACAATACATAGTATCGCATCTATACCTTGCAATCTTATAGTACGTCTTTTATTCCTAGTAATTACGCGGACTACAATGTATGCAGTATATATTTACAATAATTACATGATAAATTGTTACAATAGCTTGTTACAATAATTAGACAAAATTTCAACTTCGTATAAATATACGAACCTCAAAGATTGTTCATAAAATTATATAATTCATGGAATATTATAATGAATGATAATAAATGCCAAAGAATGTTTGTTGTCGAATGAATTTCGGTTATACATACATTCATATGAATGCCTACGTTTAATCATAATTATTACAAATTTATTGGTATATATTTGACAGATCTAGAGTAAATAAGGATAAATATAAACTGTACATTATACAGTAAAATCCCGCGTATAAGAACCTACGATTTGAATAGGTGATTTACGGGTGAATAGGTTCTTACATATATGGTCAGAATATTGATCAGAATATTAAACAGTACTTCATGACCCTAATGTCTGTACTCTAGAAATCAGGTGCAAGTAGTACACTTTCACTTACATAACTATTATTAGAACCATTGGCGAAGCTAGCCACTGATTAGAACCTTTTCCAAATTTCAGGCTGAATTGGTCCTGATAAAAATGGGTGTCTAAATGGCAAGTTTCAGACTTTACGGTTTCAGACTTTACGGTTTCAGACTTGACAATCTGCACGGTTCCAATATGCGGGATTTTATCTGAGCTAGAGGTGTAAGCTACTCGACTTTCAAAAAGCCAGCCCAGACAATAAGCAATTATCATTGCCTAAATGATACGTTTATATATAATCTGCGCACTCGTGAAAAAATCCTTTGTGGTATGAACGTCGGATATAGAGGGGAGAGGGGGAGGAACGGGAGGGGGGAGGGGGGCGTGGACCTGGAGGGGAGATGGAACTGCAGGGATTAGGGTTCATGCGTGGGCTAGTGTGTCAGCGGTCATCAGAGTAGCTAACATCTCATCGTCAAGCTCAATTAAAGATTTACTTATCTACTATTATGTACACTATTCACAAGTAATATCAGTTAAGGTAATTCCGCAGTAATTGTTCCCGAAATGAGAATGTGCTGAAACTTCCCAGGCATGGAGTTTATGATATACTTAAAGTAAAATCACACAAAAAAGTCGGGGTCACCGAACTCGTTAAGAAGATATGACAATCACAATATACCACCTTTACCCCAATATGACGCCATCTTGACGCTCATTACGAGTAACAGCAAAATCACAACAGCCCGATATTTATTGACGTTTTTAGTGCGGATTTTGCTTTAGTAAACCTATCTTGTAATTATTTTTGAAAAAATATTGTGTTTTGAGCAAAATGAAACTACTAACGTGTACAATTCTGATCCACAAATGTCTTTTGCACATTTCTTTACATATCTTTCTTTGAGAACATGCATTGATAAAGCATTTTTTTTCAAGATCCAGAAATGTAAAATGCATTAAAGAAATAAATTATCAGTTAAAAAACGGGGGTCACCGATCTTTTTAGGGAATTGTGGCATTAAAACGTGAAATACAAGTAAATAAATATACTACAGACACAGGGAACCCTAGCTACACTTTTGTATGCCTTTTTTGAAAAAATTGATTTTAACGTAATTCTTTCCACGAATGTAACCAAAGA